GGGTCTCGCTCTTGCTCAGGCTGGTTTCGAACTCCTGACCTCGAGCAATCTGCCCACCTCAGCCTCCCAGAGTGCTAGGATTACAGGCGTGAGCCACCACGCCTGGCCTAAATGGGCTTTTCAAGCGGTTTCAGAGATAGTGGCGCCGTGTGCGGCTGTTGTCGTCCCGGGCGTGAATTTCTGGGAGTGAGGGCCCAGCTGAGCTTCCCTTCCTGCCCTCCGTGGCCCCAAGCAGACCCCACGGGCCTCCCTGGCCGCTAGCGGGGCTGATCCCCAGGGGGTGAGCAGGGAGGCTGGCCCAGACCCCAGATGCACCGGCTGGGCCACCCTTGGGTGGGCTCCTGACTTCCTCGGCCTCAGTGTTCCTCCCTGCGAAGTGGGGATGGCTCCTGCTGAGCAGCTCGCTGTGGGGCTGAACGAGGGGTATGTGTGCATGTGTGTGTGTCCGTCCGTGTGTGTGTCCGTCCGTGTGTGTGTGCACATCTATGTGTGTGTGTCCATGCGTGTGTGCGAATCTGTGTGTGTGTCCATGCGTGTGTGCGCATCTGTGTGTGTGTTTGTGCGTGTGTGCATCCGTGCGTGCATGCATAGCTGTGCCTGTGTACGTGTGTCGGGTGTGTGTGTGCATGTGCACGTCTGGGCATGCGTGTTCATGTGTGTGGCCCAGTGTACAGTGTGACTGAGCTTGTGGCCACATGCGTGGTTGTGTGCGTGTGCCAAGTGTCTGTGCACGTGTGTTTGCGTGGGTGCCCGCGTGTGGGCGTGCATGTGTGCTGTGTTGTTACGACAGGCGTCACAGCACTGCAGGCGCTGGGCCTGGCGCTCAGCACCTGCCTTAGCGGGGCCGGGCGGCGGCGGCCTGCTGACAGACGGGGCGGGGAGGGCGCCAGGCTGCGGGGCGGCGGTGCCTGCGGCTCAGGCGTCCTGGCAGCCGGGTGCCGGTGGGACCGAGACGCAGCCTGCCGCCGAGGGGCGGTGGGAGCCCTCTCCGTGGCCCGGGGTCCTGCCGTGGCTGTTGGGGGGCACAGGCTTGCTGGGGACCTGGACCGAGCCACTAACTTCCACGGGCCTCGGGCCTCAGCGTCCTCGTCTGTGAAATGGTGGTAACAGTCTGAGGGCGGCGCTCTGGGTGCAGCTCCCGACACCTGCTGTGGCCCGGGGGGGGATGTGGTGTCTACTGTTCTTCAGGTGGGGGCTCCGGGCACAGGTGGGGGTTCTGGGCACAGGTGGGGGCTCCAAGCACAGATATGGGGCTCCGGGCACAGGTGGGGGGCTCTGGGCACAGGTGGGGGTTCCGGGCACAGGTGGGGGCTCTGGGCACAGGTGGGGGTTCCAGGCACAGGTGGAGGCTCCGAGCACAGATGTGGGGCTCTGGGCACAGGTGGGGGCTCCAAGCACAGATGTAGGGCTCCGGGCACAGGTGGGGGCTCCAGGTACAGGTGGGGGCTCTGGGCACAGGTGGGGGTTCTGGGCATAGGTGGGGGCTCTGAGCACAGATTTAGGGCTCCGGGCACAGGTGGGGGGTTCCGGGAACAGATGAGGACTCTGGGCACAGGTGGGGGCTCTGGGCACAGGTGGGGGCTCCGGGCACAGGTGGGGGCTCCGGGCACCGGAGACGGGGAGGCCCACTGTGCCCAACCTACCACCTTTGCTCTCCACCCGCCCACCCCAGCCCCCTGACCAGGGCTTGCTGGAGGTCTGCAGGGGACCGCAGGAGGGCATGGGGTCACAGGAAGAGGACTTGGGTGGCTGAGGCGGAGGCTGAGGGGAGCTGAGGATGGGCCTCCTGGGTGGCTTCTGCCCAGCAGACAGCCTGTCCCCGAGGGGCGCTGGGCGCCCGACATAGAGTGTACAGCCGTGTCTGAGGACGGGGAGACGCAGCCCCAGGCCCGGGGCCGCAGGGGGCCTGTGCACTCGGCCAGCGTGCCCCACGTGGGAAGGCCGGCTGCCTGGGGATCCTCGGGCACCAGGAGAGCGTGGGCGGAGGTGGCAGGAGGGGAGCGAGTGACGCCAGCGGGCACAGATGGAGCAGGGAGGGTGCCATGGCAACAGCACGGTCCTTGAGGGCGCCAGCTGCTTCCTGGGGGTGCCAGCTGCTGAGACCCTGCGCGTCCCTCCCGTGGGGGCTGCACAGCGCGGGGCTTCATCTATGCATGCACACCCCGTAAACCTCACCTCTGAGGGCTCCACGAACGGCCCTGCGGGGTCAGGGACACAGCCCGGCCCCTTGGGTGTGGCTGCCCTCCCGGGGGTCTTCGCCATGAGCTGGCATCCCAGCCGTGGTGACCTGGGTCTCACCCTCCTGTCTGCCCCAGCCCTGCCTGGTCCCCCTCCAGGCTGCCCCGGAACCCTCTTCCCCGGGGAGCGGAGCAGGAAGCCCAGGCCGCACCCACCCCACCTTCCAGGACCTTGGGCTCACACCACCTCCAGGCAGCCCTCCCAGATGCTTGTTAGTCCACAGCCTTGGCCGAGGCACACCAGTCCAAGTCAGCTGTGCCGCCACAGCAGTCCCTCGCCTCTGCTGAGCCTCGGTTTCCTTGCCTGTCCGGCGGGGCAGAAGTGGCAGCTGCCTGGGCGGGTGTGCCGGGTGGTGACGGGGTCCTGGGAGGTTGCCCTGCTCAGTGGCCAGAGAAGGGGGCACGAGTTGGAGCCGGGTGTGGCGGGCTGAGGTGGGGCTGCCAGGTCAGTGTGCTTTCTCCTCTGCCCAAGGGACACCCAGGCTGGCCGAGGTGCCATCCTGTGGGCACCAGGCCCACCAAGTGTCCCCAGAGCCCCAGCTCTGCTCGGGGCCCTGAGTGTGGCAGCAGCTCTGGCTCAGTCGCTGGGTTTGGGGCGCCCAGGTTGTGCTGTCAGTTTCCCCACCTGGGAGGAGGGCGCCCACCTGGACCAGGTGCTGCAGGGGGTGGGGGTCCCTGCTGACCACAGCCCAGAGGCGCCCCAGGGCCCAGGGTGGGCTCGCAGGGGGATGAGCTGGAGGTGCGGGTGGCACGGGGGGGCCCTGCTGCCCCAGACACGGCGCCGTGTTTTCGGGGAGGCCGGGAAGGCTTCCCATCTCGGGGCCCTGCCCCCGGCTGCAGGGCCCGGCACGTGGCTGGGGACCGTGGCCGGCTCCACCATCTCCCCTGCGTGGCAGGGTCCGTCGTGACTGGAATCCAGGAGAGACCGGGGTCCCCTTGCAGCCCGCAAGACCCCGCCCTCCCGGAAAGGTGCCCAGGAGCCCCAGAGTCAGGCGCTGGGCGGGCTGTGGCCGCCTCCCAGCCTGGCGTCGCCCGCTGGGACCAGAGCGGCGCCCAGTGGCCGGCCGCGGGACTGCAGGCCCGTGCGCCTGCCCCGGCTGCGCTGGTGTCTTGGGCCCCGCCTGGCTGTGTTGGGGGGCTGGGGGGGCCAGGGACGAGGGGCACCTGAGTCTGGCTCCTGGGGCACCAGGCCGGCCACGGCCGCCCCCAACCGCGCTGCTCTCCTGCAGACGGCGCGCCGCTCAGCGAGCTCCCCTGGTCGTCCTCCCTGGCCGTGGTGGCTGTGTCTTTCTCGGGGCTGTTCAGCGTCATCGTCCTCATGCTGGCCTGCTTGTGCTGTAAGAAGGGCGGCATCGGGTTCAAGGTGAGGGCCGGGGGGCGGCTGGGGCCCTCTCTGGTGCACGGGCCCCCGAGCTTGCTTCCCTCCCTCCCGGGCCACCGAGGCGGCTGCTGGTGCCCCAGGCCACCGTGGGGGCTCTCAGGGACGCTGGCCACCGCCCCCACCTCTTTGGGTGCCTCTGTGGGGGTGCAGCCGAGGGTGGCCTTGCAGGCCCCCACAGGGCCCTCGGGTCGCTGCTCTCCCAGGCAGCAACAGGAGACCGAAGGCGCCCAGACGCCTTCCTTGCCCCGGCCCTGAAGCCTCCCGGCACTTGCAGTCGCCATGGGGGCTGAGGCCAGGCCACGTGGGGCACGCTGGTGCATGGCCGGATTCTGGAGCCGAGGCCTCAAGGGCGGCGCACAGACGCTGTCCTCGCCCTGCAGCCCCCGTGGCCACCGCAAGTCCCTGCAGCTCTGGGCAGGGAGGAAAGTGCAGGGCTGAGGACCCCAGCCAGGGTGCCCGCGCCAGAGCCGGCCCGGGCCACGCTCCTGCCAACGTGCCTGGCCGGGACCTCTGTCACCCACACGCGACGAGGGCCGGCCCCACCCGGGCTGGAGGCCGGAGTCCTGCTCTCAGAGCAGTCAGGGTGGCCGGGCACAGCGCCCCCGCTTGGCACAACACCCCCACCTGGCACAGCACCCCCGCCGGGCACAGCACCCCCGCCTGTATTCTGGGGGCACCTTCATGTTGAGTTGGCTGGCTGTTCTCGCCCCAGCCAGCATCACCCCCTTTCAGGGAGACAGCCCCAGAGTCCCAGGAGGGGGCCACGGGAGCTCGCACCAGCCCACTTGGCAGGTGAGGACAATGCACGTGGCCGTTGCCTTTTCTAAAGCCCACACTTGCCAGCCCACTCATGCTCCGGAACCCTCCGAGGTGGGCCGAGACCCCCTTAGCCGGGGGGAGCTGCCTGTCTGAGGGTCCCCGTCCACACCTGAGGGTCCCCGGCAACACCGGGCATCTTTCCGGAACATCCTGAGGCCAGAGCTTCTAGCTTATGGGGGCAGGAGTGGGGCGGGGATCCAGAGGGGGGCTTGCGGGGCCTTTGTATACCCACCCCCCAGGCCCGGGAGAACGAGGCCCCAGGCTGGGGCCAGAACAGCCCCTCCCCTGCGCCCTCCGCTCCTCCTCCGGAACATGGTGCCCGGAACATTCCAGCGCCAGCGTGCCTCCACGGCAGGGCCTGCCTCCGCAGTGGGCTCCCTCCTGGGCTCTGGGGGCCGGTGCTGCGCAGGCCCGATGCTCACGCTGTGCTACCTGATCGCCCGCTGTGCCCTCGGGCCCCGGGCCCCCGGGTGGCAGGTAACGGGCTGCAGCCAGGGCTGCCCCGGGTGAGGGCTGGGCATCTGGGCCCCAGCAGAGCCGGGGTGTGGCATTGGAGGACCGGGGGTGGGGGGCTCGGGGGTGGTCTCTGGGCCCTGGGGAGGGGGAGACCAGCCCCCTTCCCCCATCCTCTCAGCACACAGATCGGGACTGGACTCCCGGCAGCCCCCAGCCTCGATTTGCAGTGAGAAAACCAAGGCCCAGAGGAAGGAGGGTCCCTGGGTCACACAGCCGTGCGCGGGGCCCCAGGCCGTCCCCTCCCAGGCCAGCTGTCTGTCCACGGGAGCAGGAGCCCCGGAGTGGGTGGCCCTCACCCCTCTGAGCCTCAGTTTCCCCGGGGGTTGTGGGGAGGGATGCAGAGAGAAGCTGCGACCGGCTGCTCAGGGAGCAGTTGTTGCGAATAGGCCCAGGACTTCCTCGGGGACTTTGGCTCCAGGCTCAGGAATGTGCTCCGCACCTGGGGGTGGGGTCTCCCCTAGACAGGTGCGGCTGCCGCATTTCAAAATAGCAGCCCGGCCGGGAGCGGCCCCGCCCAGGGCTGCCCAGTGCCAGGCTCTTAAGGAGCTCTGGGAGCTCTGGGAGGTGGTGGCCCGGGATGAAGGTCCAAGGGCCACCGTGGGCAGATGGCTGTGGTAGGTGGGGAGCCCGGCTGGGGGTGCGGATGGCTGGGGGGCTGCTGCTCGGGGTGCCCAGGAATGCGCCTTGTCTTGGCAGAGGGAGGAGCTTCTCCCAGAGGACTTTGGGGCAGGGGTGTTGTCACCGAAGCTGTCCCATGTCAGGGTGGGCCTACAGGTGGGGCCCGGGGTAAGGGGCTGCTAGGGGGGTGCTTGGGGGCTGAGGGGTGTTGGGGCTGGTTCTGGATGGGCAGGGTGGCCGGCCTTTGTCCCCTCGCCTCCAGGCCCTTGATCCCCTGTTCCCCCATGTGGGGCTGGGCCTGGGCTGCCCATGGGGGGAGGGGGCAGGGGCTGGGCTGGGGTGCTGCTGCCTGTGGCTGGCTCTTGGCTCTGCTTTTGGGGCCTCCTGGATGGACAGCTGGGCCGGGGTGGGGAGCCGGATCGGGGGTCTGCAGGAGGGGCTGGCTGGGGGGGGCTTGCAGGGGGCACTGGCCGCAGGCCTGCGGGTTGGGGGCTCCAGCCCTGGGTCAAGCACCCGGCCGAGCCCAGCTCCGGGGGGCAGGAGCGGGGCTGGGAAGAAGCCACTCATGCCGCCCGGGCCTGGCCTGCAGGAGTTTGAGAACGCGGAGGGGGAAGAGTATGCGGCCGACTTCTCGGCGCAGGGCTCCCCGGCCACAGCGGCGCAGAACGGGCCCGACGTGTACGTCCTGCCGCTCACCGAGGTCTCCCTGCCCATGGCCAAGCAGCCGGGGCGCTCAGGTGAGTGTGCCAGGCAGGGTGCCGGGGGGCGGGTGCTCAGCCCAGCCCTCCCTCTCTGGGGCGCGGTGCTCGCCGAGGGTGCTGCCGGGAGGTCGGGGCGGGCCAGGCCCAGGGTGAGCTCCACAGGTGGGGCAGGGGCTGAGGCACCTGGGGCTGCACCGGGCTGGGCTGTGGGGCCGAGGGTACATGGCCCCTTCCGGGCCTGGGCCGGCTATGGGCAGATGGGGCCGCCATCCGCCCCGCACTGAGGGGCTGCCCTGCAGAGGGGCAGTGGCGGCGCTGGCTGGGGGGCGGGGGGCTGGCCACTCGCTGGTCCCGGGCTTAGCCGCCCACATGCTGGGGCGGGGGCTCTTCTGCAGTCCCCAGATGCTTGACCCCAGATTCCTGCCCCCTTGGCGCCACCAGCCTGTGGAGACATGGGCTCCATTGTGCCCGGCTGGAGGGGGGGGCGCTGTGGGCCCCCGTGGGCAGCTGTGAACTGGCCTTTCACTCAGGCCGGGGTGGGGGGTCCGGCCGGCGGGCGCAGGCAGGGGCCCTGCTGTGGCCTCCATGGGCCACGGGCCGCCTCGGCCATGCCTTGCATGTGCCCATCCTGGGGTCGCTGCCCCTCGGCATGCGTGTTGGGGGGGAATGGCTGAGCTCGGGGACCCCTCTCCATCTAGTCCTGCAGCCTGGGCAGTGGGCGGGGGGCCCTGGCCTCGGACTGGCTCTGTGGAAACTTCTAGCCAAGGACTGCCCTTCCTCACTGTCCCCCTCCCAGCTCTTCCAGGAAAACTGAGGGGGGTGTCAGCCCAGAGAGCAGAGCCCCTGCTGGCCCTCTGGGGGCCCTGTTGGCACCAGGGCCGTTGCCGTGGCAATGAGTAGCCCACCCCACGTGCCCCCAAGAGCTCAACCTTTGCTGTGGTCTGGGCTTCTAGAGTAGACCTGGGAAGGACCACCAGCCGTCACCTCCCCAGGCCCAGGGTGTCCTGCCTGTCCCCCTCTGCCCCCCGAGCCTCCTGGAGGCAGGGTCACCAGTGCGGCAGGAGTCAGGGCCTGGTCTGTCGGCCAGCCCGAGGGCTGCAGCTGCCCACGCACCTCACGAGCCCTCGCACAGCCCGCTGGCCTTCCTGGAGGATGGTCCCTGGGAAGGAGGGGACAGGGACGCAGCGGAGAACAGTGGTTGCCTGTTGTCTCCATTCTTGCATCTCTGGTCACCGTTTTCTGGGGGGGCACCTGCTTCCAGGGTGGAGAAGGCAGCCCCCAGAGGTCAAGGGTTCCCAGCCTGGGCAGGGGTCCCAGCCCTCTGGTGACCGCAGAGGGTGGACACGGCTGGGCGGTGCTGGGAGGTGCCCGCTATTGTCAGCACAGTCCTGTCCCCACAGCCACAGTCAGGACCCCGGACACCTCAGGGCTGGAGACAGGGTGCCCAGCAGACTGGGGCTCAGGACGCAGCCTAGTGGGAGCCCCCCAGATCCTACTCAGCATCAGTCAACACACTCTGGGTCTCTGGGCCCTGGCAGGAGCCCCTCCCCTGGACCCTCCCGGCAGCCCCCTGCCCCCCCTGGCCCCTGGGGCAGTCGGCGTGGGAGCAGAATTCGGGGAATCCCTCAGGGCTCTGGCAGGGCATGCGTGGGCTCAGCCAGCCCCGGCCCCTTCCTCCTGGCCCTTGCTGACCCTGCCTCCCGCTGACCTCAGCCAGCTGCCCGCGGGAGAATGGGCCCAGTGTGCTCCGTGCAGGGCTGTGCCAAGCGGCCCCCAACAAAGGAGTCTTTGGTGCGCCCGGGGCGGGGATGCCAGCCTGCGCAGGGCAGGGGCGGGCCGGCCCAGTGCCCTCCCTGAGCCTCGGCCTCCCATCCCAGCCACACTGCCTGCCTGGTGTGGCCCGTGTGGCAGGTCCAGCTCCGGGCCCTGCTGTCTCCTGCCTGTCCTGTCCCTGTGACTTCGGGCAGCCCTTCTGCAGAGCTCCCCAGAAAGATGCCTGGGTGGGGCCTGCAGACCTGGGGCTTTTCTGGGCAGCAGCTGCTTCTGCTCCCGAGAGGCCCCAGCTCCTGATGGCAGCCCCCCCGGTGGCCTCTGCCTTGGTGGTCTGGCCTGCCCCCACCCCGTAGGTGGCACTGGGGAACTCGGGGTGACTTCCCAGACCGCACCTCGAGGGTCGGGTGAGGGGTGGGGCGCTGCGCAGGGTCCCTGATCTCCACTCCGCATACAGTCAGCTCTAAGTCAGACCGGGCCGGCACAGCCCTGCTGTACCGAAGAATCGGCACGGCTGTTCGGGAAGGTGACGTGTCCACGGTGGGCGGGCAGACCTGACTTTCTGGCGCCCGGGGCGCCTCCCAGGCCTGTGGTTCTGCGGGCCTCCTGGGGGTCCTCGGGGTCGCTGCAGCCCCTCCCTCTGGTCCATGCCAGGTCCTGCGAAGGGTGTCCCGCTTCTCCCGTGGACCCCAACGCTGGAGGGACGACGGGGTCCGCTTCCACGGGCCTCAAGGGAATAACGTGAAGACTCCAGAGTAGCGCGGCCGAAGGGCCGCTGGAGGGGCGTCTCATGCGCAAATGATAAACTGAGCACAGAAAGAGAATGCTGTCCCTAGGGGGTAAGTGTGGCAGCGGAAGGGCGGCTTGGTGACCGCCTTCCCGCAGGTTCCTGGGGAGGTGAACTCGGGCGTGAGCAGCGCGCAGGTGGGTCAAGGCTAAGCCAGCGCCAGCTGGAGACAGGTGCAGTTCTGAGGAGGCGCAGCCGCACAGGTGGCCGGGGGGACCCGAGAGTGTGGGTGGCTGTGTGGCCGGCCGCGACGAGCCCGTGCACCCCCCTCCCCTGGCTATGCAGGGCCCTGCAAGCACAGCAACCTGCTGCCAGTTGCCCTGGCCATGTGCCAGAGTGACCCCTACCTGCTGATGATGGAGTCTGACCGCTGTGAGTGCCGCCCGCGCCCGCCCACGCGACCCCACCAGTGGCTCGCTGAGCTGGCCTCCCTTGCCAGCCGGTGTTGTCGGTGCTCCCCTGTGGGCTTCACAGCCCCCTAAAGTGGGTGTGGGGGTCCTGCCCCAACCCCAGAGAGTGCCGCAGGGCAGGGGACGCCGGTCAGCAGGATGCGTGGCTGAGCCTGAACAGCCGCTTGCCACCTGCCGTGCCCTCAAGTCCAGCATCCAGCATCCGCAGCCTGGGCTCCCCTCAGGCCCACGTGGGCTGGCTTTGCGACACACGCCCTCCCGCGATGCACGGGCAGAGGCGCCTGGCTTCCCTGGCAGCTGGCACACCTTGGCTCAGCCCACCGTCCTGCATCGGGGGAGGCCATGGGAGGTGGTGCATGGGTCCCAGGGAGCTGGTGCCCCCCTCCCAGCTTGGCTGGTGACTGCCGTGTGCCTGCTTCGCAGGGAGACCTCAGGCTACTGCGGAACGCCTGGTGACAGAGTTCCCATGACCTGACCTGACCCTGCACGCATGGCCTGCGAGGTGGCCTGCGGCGTCCTGCACCTGCCACCGCCACAACTACGTGCACGAGGTGAGGGCCAGGGGTGCCGTGAGGTACGACCACCCATGTCACACGCATGCGACAGCACACCGCAAAGGAATCCTGCCAAATTTTCCTAAAAATCGGCAAGATAGGGGTCTGACATCTTGCAGGATATAAAGCGAAGAACCCCAACACTCAGCGCGCTGTCCTCTTGTCCCCGAGTACAGCCACCACCCAGAGACCACCCAGCTCGGCCCACGCCTCCACTGTCCTCAGGCAGCAAGGGAGGACTCGCTGCGCCCCAGTGGTAGGATGGGCTCTCCTGTCCTGCCCTGTCCTCCCTTCCGCTCTTCCTGCCGGGCAGCCGAGATACCCCCCGGGGACGGCTGGAAAAGTGGCGTGACTCGGGCGCGCCCAGCCCTTGACGCGCTGGCGTGCCTCCCCACAATATCCGGTGCTGATGTACTCAGTTGCGACTCCAGCATCAGTGATTTGTTGAAGGGCAGCTGCCAGCCTCCTACTCGCCAGGCCGCGCCCTCGGCCCAAAGCACCACCCCACGCGTCCCAGCACTCACACGGCGTGGGTGGGTTGCCGACCCGTACCTGCCCAGCCCTGTGCCCCGACACCTGCGGACTACCAGCCAGCAGGGGACAAGCCAGCGCCAGGGCCACCTGTGTTGGAGGCCCCACTGCCCGCCGGCAGGAGGGTGGCCTGGGCAAGCCTCAGCTCGGCCTGTGTGGAGCAGGCTGGCCAGCCCTTGGTACTGCCGCAGCTGCAGCTCCGGACACTCCAGGCCTCAGTTTCACCCAGGAGCTGAGGTGATGTTAGGGTTGGAGAAAACTCAGAGGGGCGGCAGAGGGGCATGGGGTTCTGGGCGGCGGGCGTGCCTCCGGCCAGCAGGCCCAGCCCTGTCTTTCCCAGTATCACTGCGCTGTAGTCGGCAAACCTTGCAACAGCGTGCCGGCGCCCAGGGGTGGGCCGGCACAGGGGAGGGACAAGAACCCTCAGAGACTCTTCCGAATGCCCACTGGCTACCAGGACACCGCCACTACTCATTGCAAGACCCTCTGTGCTGAACGGCCCAGCCTGCCCCCCCAGCACGTCCCTCCCGCAGCGACCTGGCCCTGCGAACTGCAGCTCACGTCCGACCTTGACGTGAGCTCGGCGACTACGCATTCCCACTGCAAATACAGTTGAGGGCAAGGCAGGGCGCGTGGCGGCGCAGTTGGCGCCCCCAGTGACCCGCCCGCCCTGGCGCGCATGAAACACTGTGCGACCGACATCTGTGCCTGCTGCGCGATCGCCCGGAGCTGTACAGTGCACAGCAACCTGCTCGTGGACCACCAAGGCCAGCAACGTGTGGCTGACACGCGCCCGGCGCGTCAAACGTCGCCGTCCAGTGGGAGGCTGTTGTGGCCAGCCCAGGCTGACACCCACGCCCAATAATACGGGCCCAAGACTCTCACCAGATCAAAGCACCGTGACACGAGCCGCTCTCTGGCAAGGTCTCGTGGTGTGGCGCCTCGGGTGGAGTCAGCTTCAGTCAGGCATGCCCCATGCGTAGCTGAGCCCTCCCCCGATTCCTGCTCCCCAGCCTGAGCGGCTTGCTCCACAGAGACAAGCCACCCTGGTGCCCGCCCGCTGTCGCTCTTGCTGTGGTGCTTCGTTCCTTTCTGCTGGCTCTTCGCCTCTGCTCCTGCTTTTCCTCTATATCCTGTCCCACCTCGCTCAGCAATCCCCCACCAGGGCCGTGTCTGTCTCCGTTGTCAATGACACTGAAGGACAAACGACATGTCCCACACAGCCGGCAGGCTTTGCTGCGCCCACTGGACCAGGAGGTGCGGGTGTTCCATCCCTTTATGAAGGATGCGCGTCCTCTGGAGGGTGCCGCCGTGGCACTGACCCTGGTCCTGAGGTGCTGCGATACAGAACTGCCGCCCAGCACCACACAGATCGTGGCCTGCCCACGCCGCCTTCTCCATGGTCGTGGCCCTGCAGTCCCTGGCGACATGCTGAGCTTCGAGCTGGGTGCAAGTCCTACCCCCATCACTTCGACCGCCAGAGCTGCCACACGCGAGCAGCACTAACGCCAACCCAGCTGCAGCTGACTCGTCAGACCGCTGGTGAGACGCCTGCCGCCCTGGAGAAGGCCCGTGGGGTGCCCCCGCCAGTCAGAGGGCTGCTCAACCTGACCTGGATCCTCTCCAGCCCGGCCCCCTCTCTGACCTCAGACACCAGTGGCTTGTGTCCCTAAGCTGGAGATGGCTGGGGGATGTCCAGCCTGCCACCCCCCACCACCTGCACGCCTTGCCCTGGAAGACTTGGGTGTCACCGAAGAAATGATAGTTCCCAAACTGCCCTCACGGCCACTTTTGAGTGAGGGAGCCTCCCCCCCGGGGTGTCCTGGTCCTGGCCCGGGCCACCCAACGCCTTCCCGCAGTACGAGTGATCAGTTCGCGCTCAGCCGAGCACGGCCCACGGCGGAGAGTGCCACCTGCTGCTGCTACCCTGTGCCCAAGGCGCCACCGAGCAGGAGAGGATTCGAGCCCTGCCTCGCGAGCCCGCGCGGCGCGCGGCCGGGTTCCCGTGGGCGCGCCGAGCTCGCCGCGCCCCTTCCCCTGCTGACAGTTCGCGGACGACGGCTTCCACGCCGACGGCGACTACGTCTGACAGTGACGGAGACACCGCTCCCTCCAACTTCGAGTACATGGAGGCGGCCGGCGCCGACGCTCCCCGCCGGGCCGCCGAGCCCGCTGCCGCGCCCCTCGCAGGAGCTTGCGCCCCCGACTGCACCCGCTGGGCCCGGCTCAGCCGCACACCCGTCGTGGCAGCATACTTCATCCGCCTGGAAGCACCACACCGCCCGGCCACACCCCGACAGCGCCGGCGCGCCGGCCGCCGCACCCGCGGACCAGACGAGGATCAGATGTCAACCGCTCCCTCACGGCACGAGCCGCTGCTGGCACGCGCCCCACCACGCCCCGGCGGGGCACGCCCACACCGCGGCAGGTCCTCACGACCGTCTGCTGCCGGCCGCTCGCCTCCAGGGCCCTGATCCCACGCGGAGCCAGGACGCAAACTGGGCGGGAGCCTTCTCCCCCCTCTTCAAGGACCGCTGGCCATCCCCCTCAGGGACCGGGGCTGGCCACCACAGGGCGAGAGCGCGGAGCTGGACGCCAAGGCCGCCAGCATAGAACACTGGAGCCCAACGTGTCGGCAATAACAACAGCGCAGCAGCGATCCAGAGACCTGGACCCCGCTATGGGCAGCTACACGACGAGCCCAGCCGAACAGACCCCTGCTCCCGACAGGCACGCCCGCCAGGAGCCCAGAGCCCGCTTGCGCAGGGCACCCCCCTGCCAGCAGCCTGCCGCGCTCCGACTTCCCCACCCTGTGCCTGCCCAGGCCTGCACCGTCCGTCCCCTGGTGCACCCCTGCACAAGCCACTGGCGGGGCGCCCCCAGCAAGAGCCAGGCTTGCTGCGAGGCCGTAGGTCTGCTACCCCTTCCCGCCCTCCCCTCCCCTACCCAGCAGGGAGCCCCACTTCCCTCCGAGGCGGCCGGCACCCCTGACCTCCTGCCTGACTCGCCCACTGAGCCGGCTGGGGCTGCTGACAACAGCGGCAGCTGCTGCCCCGCAGTGGAGGTGGCCAGCAGTGAGGACGAGGACACAACTGAGGCCACTTCAGGCGTCTTCACCGACTTGTCCAGCGACGGTCCGCGCTCTGAGAAGCCGGACGCGGTGCCCGCCTTGCGCTCTCTGCAGAAGCAGGTTGGGACGCCCGACTCCCTGGACTCACTGGACATCCCGTCCTCAGCCAGTGACGGTGGCTGTGAGGTCTCCAGCCCGTCAGTGCCCGGCCCCCCCGGCGGGCAGCCCCGAGCCCTGGACAGCGGCTATGACACGGAGAACTACGAGTCCCCCGAGTTCGTGCTCAAGGAGGCCCACGAGTGCGAGCCCGAGGCCTTCAGGGAGCTGGCCCCGGAGGGCGAGAGCCCCGGGCCCGAGACTCAGCTCTCAGCCTCCCTCCCTGGCCTCAGCGAGAAGAACCCCTACCGAGACTCGGCCTACTTCTCAGACCTGGATGCCGAGTCCGAGCCTCCCACGGGCCCGGAGGAGAAGTGCGGTGGAGTCCAGGCCCCCGGGCCAGAGCCAGGCCTGGAGAGCTCGAAGAGCCCTGGGGAGCTGCCTGGGCCCGGGGTGCCCGGCGAGGCACAGGGCGCTGGCCCCAGGGAGGTGCTGCCACCATCGCCGCCCATCGACGGGTCTTCCACAGAGCCAAGCGCCGGCCCCAGGCCAGAGCCTCCTGAGTCCCCGGGCCCAGCCAAGCTGCCACCTGTGCCCAGCCCCGGCCGCCCCAAGCTTTTCCTGCTGACCCCAGTGCCACCGAGCTCAGGAGGTGACAGCTCCGAGCTCCAGGGGGCCCCTGGACTGTTGTCAGGGCTGGCCCCGCAGGAGCGGACGGGGTGCCCCAGTGCCCCACGAACCCCGCTCTGCCTGGCTCTGCCTGGCCTCCCTGCAGCCTTGGAGGGCCGGCCAGAGGAGGAGGAGGAGGACAGCGACGACAGCGACGAGTCGGACGAGGAGCTCCGCTGCTACAGCATCCAGGAGCCCAGCGAGGAGAGTGAGGAGGAGGTGCCCGCCGTGCCCGTGGTGGTGGCCGAGAGCCAGAGCGCGCGCAACCTGCGCGGCCTGCTCAAGATGCCCAGCCTGCTGTCGGAGGCCTTCTGCGAGGACCTGGACCGCAAGAAGAAGGCTGTGTCCTTCTTCGACGACGTCACCGTCTACCTCTTCGACCAGGTGGGCCGCAGCGCGGGGCCAGCGCGGGGCGGGGGTGCGCGCCCGAGGGAAGAGCAGGCCTGAGCCGCGTGGTGCTGGCCCCTCTAGGAAAGCCCCACTCGGGAGCTCGGGGAGCCCTTCCCTGGCGCCAAGGAGTCGCCCCCCACGTTCCTGGCGGGCAGCCCGGTCTCCCCCAGCGCTCCGGGCCCGCAGCTGCAGGACGACCCGACCCGCGGAGGTGAGCTGGAGGGTGGGGGCGCGGGCCTCGTGACGTCACTGGGCGGGAGGGGCTCATGACGCCACAGGGCGGGGCGGGGGTAGTGACGTCTAGGCTGCTGGGCGGGAGGGTCTCGGGCGTCGCGGGGGGCGGGGCCGGGCGGAGGGGTTCGTGACGTCACGGGGAGCGGGCGGGGCGGCGGTGCCGCGACGTCGCCGCGCGGGCAGGGTCCCAGGTGCGCGGGCGCGAGTGACGCGGCGGCCCGGTGGCAGGCGGCACGTTCCGGTGGGACGACGACCTCCCGCCAATGCCTGCCAAGGCGGCCCTCGCCACGGCCCCCGCCCCGCCGGCCCCGGCTGCGCCCACGTCGCGCTTCACTGTGTCGCCCGCGCCCGCGTCGCGCTTCTCCATCACGCACGTGTCCGACGGGGACGCAGACCCCACGGGAGGTGAGTGCCGGCCCACCCTCGTCCCGGCCCCTGCCCGGCCCGCCGGCCCCAGGGCTCGGCCTTCTCCCCCGCGCCCGGCCCACGCGCGCCTGCCCGGCCGGCAGCCGTCCGGCCGGGGGTCACGGTGCGCCAGCGCGAGGCCCCGCGCTCAGGGGACCGCTCCCGCCGCCGGGGCTGCTCGGCCTCCCTCGAAGCCCACCTCCTGCAGAAGCCCCTGCCTCGTTCCAGGCAGACCCGCCCTCCCCTAGCTGCCTCCGGTCAGCCTCCCTCCGGCTGCAGGGCGCTGTGTCTGAACCAATGGGCAGGTCACTAAGGCAATTGCATGGGCCTGGCCAGCCTTTTCCTGTCCTGGCCTCAGTGTCCCTATCTGTAAAAGGAGGACTTGGAATGTTGGGTGCAGGTGACACAGCGAGGAGAGAAATGGGCCTGGGTTTGTGCACCGCCTAGACACAGGCAGGCCCGCTGCAGCCAAGGGGGCTGAGGGCCGCAGCCCCCCACCCAGTGGCCCGTGTGGAGGCTGGGGTTGGAGGCTGGGCGGGAGTCGTGGGGGAGGAGCCTCTGGCGTCCCAACACCTCACGTGGTACCTCCTATTTGCCAGGCTCTGCGGCAAGTGCAGGGGGTGGGAGTAAAGACGCTTGAGACCCAGGCAGCTCCCACCCATTGGAGGCTGGCGTCACCGGAGCCCCTGCCAGGCAGCAGCGAGGATGGTGACCAGGAGTGAGTGTGGGCGTGGCCCTGGTGGCTGCCAGCAATAGGTTCCAGTGTCCCCCGGAGAAGCATCGGGACAAGAGGCCCCTCTCTGGCTGGGGTGGTGGATTGGCCACGCCCCCAGCCCCGTGCTGCCCTGGGGCCAGAATTTGTCCTGGACACCGGGTTTGCTGCTAGTCCTAGGGGTGGGGCACCTGTACAACACACACATGCGCGCACACAGGCACACACACAGGCACTCGAGAGGGCCCTGCAGCTGCTGGACACTCGGCCTCTGAGGCCAGGGACCTGCTCTTGGCCACCCACCGGGAGCCACATTCGACTGCCTCCTTCAGTGTTCACAGGACATGCCCGGCCAGGCAGAGGCCCCCAAGACAGCAGCAGGCTGCAAGCCTCTCCTGTCCCCGGCCCCTCCTGGTTCTGGGTTCTGCTCAGCACAAGGAGAGGACTGTGGCTTTCTGTCCCTGCTGTCCTCGTCTCAGAGTCTGTGGCTGTTCCCCCCTCGCTGACTCAGACTGTAGCCAGCTCTGCCCACGGGCTGGGGCCGCGCCCACCCGGGTCCCACTGCCGGAGCCTGGGCTGGGTGGCCAGAGAGATGGGGGAAGTGGAGGTACAGGCCACACCCCTGCCACGCGGGCCCGTTCTAGAGTGCCCTCGGCAGGGCGGCGGGGTGGCTCCCCTCCGCAGTGCCCCAGCTGCCAAAGGAAAGCGGGAGCCACAGCCGACCTCGGTGACGGGCTCCGCCTGCAGGGACGGGGCGGTGGGGACGCGGAGTGGCCGGGGGTCGGGCCGTGCAGGGAATATTTTTGTAACTGCTGTTGCTGGAGCGAATGGAAGCGGGTGAGCTTAAGTTATTGTTGCCAAAGAGATGTAAAGTTTATCATTGCTTTGGGGGGATTTGTTTTCGGTTTGTGTCTTTTGTTTTTTATTAGTTTGAGGCTTAGGATGCTGGTGCAATGATTTCCTTGTTCCCTTTCTGTTTGTTTTTTAAGAGAAATCAAGCTAAGAAAAAAATGGCTTTGTGTGGTGTTTTCTTTTGGGGTCGGCAGATAGAAGTTCTCATGTTCTTGGCACACCCTGGTGGAGGGAGACAGTGTCCTGGCCCTGTGACCGGGGAGGGGTCCCCTTCCGGGGCTGCGCCTGTGCTGCTGGGACAGGAGCGGGAGGGCTGGAGGGTGGGGGACTGAGCACCCAGGGAGGGGTCCCGCTCTTGGCTTCTGACCCCAGGTGTTGGCAGCTGCAGGCAGGTTGGGGTGCCTGAGCCCCTCCTTAGCCGGTCTGTGTGGAACCAGCCCTGCATGACGCTGCTCTCCAGTTAAGGACTGTAGTCACCAACGTGGGTCACCATGCTGTATTTCATCCAAAATCGTCCAATAGCACAGATCTGACGGTAAAGTTTAAACTCCCACATCTGAGCAGAGGCCCTGGCCGTGCGGGAAGCAGCTGGGAGGGGCGTGGTCCACCCAGCGTCCTGGAGTGGGGCCTGGTAACAGGACACCCCCAGCCCCAACGGCAGGCACATACTGGTGACCCAGGCCACAGTGCCTGACACCCCTGCCCCGAGAGGCCCCAGCAGCTAGGTTCTGCCCGGGAGCTGGGGAGACCCCACACTGCAGCGGGGGTGGGGAGGCCCAGAGCCCCCGCCCCAGCCCCAGGCGCGGCAGGTGGGGCTCGCAGGGGCGTCCTGCCCTCCCGGCCCTGCAGACAGATCACACGGCGAGGCTGGGGCAGCCTGTTTATTGACTAGAGTGTGGGAGTGGAGGGCGGCGTGGCTCCTCTTCCAGCTACGGCTGGCTGTCTGTCCTCCGTGTCCTCCAGGCCCAGGGGTGCCCCAGGGCTCCGCGGCCCAGAGGCGCCTGCCCCCCACGAGGCGGGTCCCCCTCTGCCCCAGGGCCTCTCGGGGACCAGCCCCCACTCCGCGCGGCCTCCGCCAGGTACAGCTGGGGTCCAGGCCAGACTGCAGTGGGCACAGCCCGGCAGGCGGGGGCGTGGCCTGTCCCTGAGCAGGAACATGCAGATGGTGACAGGTCCCATGTCGGGGTGGGGTGGTGGCCACACGGGCAGCAGAGCAGACGTGGCCGTCAGCTGAGGAGGGGAGCGGACCTGTCGTTGGTCACCGTGGGCTTCAGCTGTACGTGGGCGAAGGGATTCCTGAGGAGGAGAGAGAAGAGTGGCTTTAGCTTGCGACAGGCGTGTGGGCGAGCTGGACCTCCCGGGCTGCCCAGTGCCCCCGGGACCCCCTGTGCCGGACCCTGACAGCCCACCCTTGGGCCTGTGGGGTGCCGGGACGGGCGCTTTCTGTGAGCCTGCTGGCCCGCAGTGCCACCCTCCCCAGCCCACTTCGCTGTCGGCCCTCCCAGGGCGAGTGGACCTCTGCCGCGTGGGGGCGGGAGCCACCCCTCTCGGGACCCGAGACGGTCCTGGGCGGCGTCCACGTCAGTCTGGCGAGCGCCCCACCAGGCCAGGCCAAGGAGGATCCACCGACACCAAGGACACAGCTCTGGGGACCCCGCGAGCCCGGCCCAGGCGCATGGGGCATCTGCGGGACGACACGCAGTCCCACGGAGACACAGACACGAGACGCACACACACTGCTGCCCACGGGGCTGGCGTGGACGCCCGGGGCCCCTGCAGAGGTCTCAGCCACCTGCCACCCCGGGAGCTGAGCCCTCCGCCGAGGTCCCGGGGCCAGGGCTGACGCACAAGGACTCGAGACAAGAAGTTGAAATGGGACGAGATGAGCGGGTGAGGAGTGGCCCTGCCTGGTACTGGCGAAGCCTCTTCCCTCTGGATCACCCACCCGCGGGGACAGCACGGATGGCATGTGGACATGGAGGCACGGCACGGACAGGACCGGCTCTGGTGAAGCTGCGCTCGGCTCCAGAGCCGTTACCTGGAGCGGAGTCGCCTCTGGCGCAGCGGAGTCCCGGGAGCCTGGGTGGGCCGGCGCGGCAGCGGCCCGCGGCCAGGTGGGCAGGGCTCCGTCCTGTGCGCCCAGGAAGCGGCCCGTGGGCTGGGCACGCCTGCCTGTTTTCCTGAGGACTTTGTGGTTTCTAAAAACCCGTGACGCTTTGCACCGTGAGTTTTCAAAGAATCAAGTGTGGTGTGGACGTGGACAGATCGGAGGGGCGCCCACACCCCAAGAGGCGCCACGGCCCAGGCAGGGCTGCTTAACAACTGACTTCGCACCCAGAGGGTTGCGGCCCCAGGAAAGGCGACTCAACGCTGCCTGCTCGATCGGCGTCTCTCGGCTCTGATCTGCGTGGTCCCTGCGCCCCATGCCGAGGCCCAGGCGGCCACGGTTCTGCCACGGCCGGTGGCGTCTGCTTCCGGCAGGCCCAGAGAGCGGCCCGGCCCTGCCCACCTGCCCGCCCGCCAGCTTCTGGAGCAGGGCTCTGTGGCCTGCGTCTGTCCCCAAGACCAGCGTCTCTCCATCTCCTCTGGGGCCTGGGGAGATTAGAAACGGGGCCAGACTTTTCCATTCAGAGTCTGGGGCAGCAGAGGACAGATCGCAAATGCCTGCGGGTCCCAGAGAGGGAAGCTGGGGCTAGAGCCGAGGGTAGCTTTAAGGATGCGCCCTACCCCTGCTGCGAATCACACCAGTTCTCGTCAGAAAGATTCGGTGGCAAAACCACACCGTCAGCCGGGATGGGAGCCTCGGGGCCCACACTGCCCCACCACGCAGGGCCCTGTTCTGCAGCCTGTGTTTTTTGTTTCTCCCCCAAATGGAACCTGCTAAGCCACCAACACTACGAGGTTCTGCAGACGTGAGCCGGGGCCATGAACGCCACGTCCGGCCTTGGCCTCGTGGGCAGGCAGGACCTCTGGGCGGCCCCTCAGCAGCCTAGACCAGACCAGGCTCCACGTGACCAGGCCCCTTGCTCAGACCCTGGCCCACATCGAGGATGCCTGAAACGCCCACCAGCCACCCGTGTGGCCCCGCGCGGGGCCCGCAGAAGGGACGCAATTCGGAGTCGAAGCCACGCAGGGTCACCCCCACCTGCTATGGAGCAGGTGCCACAACACGCGTCCCTGCCGGGGGCCACACCCCAGGCCCGGCTTCCTTCTCAACTACCCTGTCTGGCAACGAGCACAGCAAACCTCGGAGAGACAAAACCAGCAACCCGCACGCGGCCAGCGGGACGTCAACGACATTAGAGGATGTCACTCTTGTCACTTCTCTTACCGACCCCGTGGGGCGCGGCCTGATCCCAGCCTGGTCGGTGAGTATGACAGCCGGGGAGCGTGGCGGCCAGGGTCGGGCCTGGGGACAGCCCGGAGCACACGTGGGCTCCGTGGGACGGGTGGACATGGGGCTCTGCTGCCCAGTCTGACCCCACGTGGTCCCAGGATGCCTGCCAGGCTTCCTTACACATGGGCCCCCCGCACCTCCCAGCTGCCTTCTGGGACAGATGTGGGAGCGGCAAGGGGCTCTGCTCACCTGTCCCCCGGCAGAAGGGGCTTCCCCGGCCGCACACCCGGAACTCTTCCTAGGACGGTGGCCCTGCGAGGCCAGCACTGTCATCCTTACCAGGGACGGTGGTCACGCAGGTCCTGGACCCTGACTCTCGTGTTGCTGCCTTTCTGTTGTTGAGGTGCAGCTATTCTGGAAAGTTCAGTAGTAAAACGGTCCTGAAATTTGGTCCAGGAGGATAAGAAGTGTCCTTGGTGGGCCTCACGCCCCCTACGCCCCACTCCTGAGCCGTGCGCTCGGGCGGCTGCAGAGCCCTTGCTGGCCGGGTCCCTCTGAGCTGCCCGAGGGCCGTGCTGTCCCCACCGACCTGGGCCCTGGGCTCAGGAAGGGCTGAGGGCTCAGGGAGGCGCAGCCTTCGCCGGGGACCACGTGCCCGGCGGGGCAGAGACCCAGCACAGGTTCTCGACCACACGGTCTGCCCGGTGCCTGATTCACCTGGGGGTGGGCGTGTCAGAAGCCACCTGTGGTTGGTCTGGTCAAGGGACCCCACTTTGCCCTGAGCCAAGGGTGCTGGGGCTCAGGACGCGAGGGGGACGGGCCCCGGCCGCAGTCTACACTGCCACGGAGGCCACCGCCCACCGCCACCAGTCCGGAAGGGCGAGGAAGACCAGTGGCTGTCTCGGCGCCGAGCGTACTTGGCGGCACGGATGACCCCGAATCCGTGGCGCCCTCAGCTCTGTGATTCCGGAACGGGAGCTGCCGCGCCGGGCGCGTGTGCAGGAGTAGCAGGTCGGGACCTGGGACGTGTGGTCTCTGGTCACAGCGTCCCAGAGCTGCCCGCGGGCAGGGGGGCCCACGCCTCCTCCTGACCCTGCCTGCGCGGGGAGGGCGCCCCTTGGGCCTGTGGGAGCCTCTGACGGCACCCCTGGCGGGGAAGTGGGCCCAGTCCTCAGCGCGCGAGGCCACCCAGGTCCCGCTCGGGAGCAAACCTGCCGCCAGGGCCCCCCCCCGCGCTGGGACCTGTG